AAAAAGGTGAGGTTGGATTTATAAGGGTAATTCACTTCTGTGCAGTGGTACATGGAAGTTCGCGATGTGGTCTAATGCCGTATGGTCCTGTCTGAGGAGATGATGTTGCCTTGGAGTTGATCCGTCACATTGCAGTTCACCCCTTTGATTGAGATCCCTCATTTTACCATCACATGGATGTTTGTTCTGGTGACTGGCTTTGGATTTAGGGCAGGGCAAATCAACATAAATCTTCACATGTGTGTTGCCTGTGTTCTTCCTATTCCTCACTCAATTGGTCTCATGATCACACAAAACAATGGGGATAATGTTGAAGGAGGTGACAGTTTTTCTTTCGGAACTCCACCTCAAGGAGTTTTTGCAGGCTGAGGTTGCTGTTGCGCAGTGGGGTGTCTATCAGTATGAGTTGAAATATGATGTGACATCCCACAGGGGCACATCTCTTACTGCTGTCATTCAGATATAGGGTTCCCAGATGTATAGTTAGTTGTGGATAATGCACATGTGCCCATTTCGTAGATCCATATGCACAGTATATACTTCTGTTCTACTGAACTTGAGATGAAGATGGTGTGGACCCTCCTCCTACCGGGGATCAGATGTTATATTCCCTTTACCACTTGGTCCATCATGCCCTAGCCACTCTACACCTTGGAGAACATTCCATTTTACTTTCTTCCACATTGCTGTCTGTAGAAGATTCATCTACAGCCTCTCTTTAATGGAATTGAGATTATGATATCACGTGGTTCGGATTCCCATCCAACCATTTTTTTTCTTTCCCTTTTTGTTGTGCTCCTTTTTTATTCTGCCTGTGTCTGTGACACCACTTTCCACACTGGGTGAAGAGTATACCTGGTACAAAAGTGATGCAGTCTCCCACGTATGATTCTTTGTTAAGAGGATCATCAGTGTAAGGTGTGATGCAGTCTCCCACGTATGATTCTTTATTAAGAGGATCATCAGTGTAAGGTGTGATGCAGTCTCCCACGTATGATTCTTTATTAAGAGGATCATCACTGTAAGGTGTTTAAGAGGATCATCAGTGTAAGGTGTTCTTCGGATGCCTTCAAAGGGTGCATATTTTTATCCCTCACACCTCCACCTTTTCAATGTGGGAATCTAGCTATATATGTAAGTAGAGGTAATGTACTGTATTGGAAGTTATAATTTTCCTGTACTGAAAATATATTCCTGATAGGTACTTACCTTCTTCCACCCTTCCCCCCCACTAAAAATTGGTGCTTCCTTTTCTGCCTAAACTTGATGTGAGAGTTTGCTAGGATCGAATAGAGGGATTCACATGCCTCAGGAGGGTGTGTTGTACTCCTGTTGGTGGAGGGTTGTCACATGATGATTTACATGCAAGATACAGTTGAACCACAATAGTCATGGGAGTGCAAGATTTGTGGCATGTGAAAAATTTTTGTATATAGAGGGCAGCACTGAACAAGAATAGCTATATACGTGAGTGGAGGTAAGTACCTATCAGAAATATATTTTCCGTATCGGAAAATGATAACTTATGGCACATTCTGGGATTGCTATGAGCAAAATATCTTCAGGCATTTATGGTTTTGATGAAATTGGTCAAACGGGTCATGACAAAGAAATTGATGTCACCAACAAAATTCATTTCTATTCATCTTAATTACTTTTAAAGTGACAGCCCGACCCATTATGGAATGAAAACATATTCTAGTTATCACAGTTGGCAGTAAGCATAGTTAACATAAGCTGATATCTACTGGACTTAAATCACAACCTTAAAATCTTTAAGTACTCAACAAGGATATATGAAAGATGAATCATAACAAGAAAATAAACAATGCTAAGATTAACTTAACATGATATACCAGTGCAAGTATAGTTTTAGAAGAATTGCAAAATGAAAAATATCTATTAAATGGTTTTCTGGCAAGATTGATGAATGTGCATTAATATAAAAACTAGGGTTATTGGTGACTGATTAATAAAAGTAATTATTTATAAAACTTCTGATTAAAATAGACTATATAGTCTGACATAAAATAAGATGATTACTTAAAAAGACCATAATATTCCCATATTGTACATAAGTAAGCAGAATCTTGTGAAAAATACCAAAATCAAATGGATTTATGAACATCAACAAAATATGTATTACTCAAAACTGAATTTAATAATTGCTGTAATCTTTACAAAAAACTTAAATGTATTAATATTAGTAATAATTTATTTTAATAAAGTTATCAGTTAATTGAGTTTCTAAGTGGTAATTTGTTATTTATAATTTCTAGTAGCTGTAGTAGATTTTAGGTAATGCTGTTCCTTGTAAATATGAAAATTTTAACTATTTGGTGTGAATGTCAATAAAAACCATACTGTACACACTTTATTGATATTTTCTGTACAGTTTAACACATGATTCTTTTTAAAATGTCATCAGTAAAGTGTTTTTTAAAGGTTTAAACAATTTTTTATAGAAACTGGAACGATGCTCTTCTTTAGTAACCAGTCTCATCAGTGGTGTGTCTGAAAAAGAAGCACATGATACACTTAATGCAACAGTAAGTTTGATATAATTATCAGTATTTAGATCTCAATCTGCCAGTCAACAGTAAGTTTGATATAAGTTTCTAGTTGATAATAGAACTGTACAATTTTCAGTATTTAGACCTCAATCTGCCAATCAACAGTAAGTTTGATATAAGTTTCTAGTTGATAATAGAACTGTACAATTTTCAGTATTTAGACCTCAATCTGCCAGTCAACAGTAAGTTTGATATAAGTTTCTAGTTGATAATAGAACTGTACAATTATCAGTATTTAGACCTCAATCTGCCAGTCAACAGTAAGTTTTGATATAAGTTTCTAGTTGATAATAGAGCTGTACAATTATCAGTATTTAGACCTCAATCTGCCAGTCAACAGTAAGTTTTGATATAAGTTTCTAGTCTGAAGTTATGTTTATGTGGGGTTTCATCAATAGTTTTTAATAGATCATCAGATTATTTTATATAAAAACTTTGTTCTAAATTCAATACTCAGTTACAACATTTTCTAGAAAAATGTTTATTCTTCATGTGAAAAAGACATCAGTTAAAATCATAAGTTTTTACTGTACATGTTTGAAAGAATATAAAACATTAACCAAAATACGTCACATACCATGGTTACTTTATAACAAGTTAAATGTAGCTTAAGTATAAATTATTGCAGTTTTTTTCTTGACCAAATATATTTGCTTTATTGCTAACTCCTGTTTTTCTTATCTAATAACAGCTACAAATAGTAATAAATTGCAGTGAATCATAGCTTTTATAGTTTAATTAGTTTAAAATAAAACGTAGTGATCAAATTTGTAAAACAAAACAAAGTTTTTGTATATTGAAGAATAATCTATTTCAGTGCACAAAATTAATATCATATGCATTCATATTTGGGTAATGAATGCTGTTATACCCAAACCTCATTCAAATATATTTAGACCTCAGTCTGCCAGTCAACAGTTTTTTTTTATTATCTACATATCATCATAAGGTAGTTAAATTGGATAAATGGCCGCACACTAATGTAGAGCATGTTACTGAATTTGACATTCTACCAGTGATAGTCTCAAAACTTGTTTATCAAGTTCTTTGGTACATATACTTGTGGTAACTTATGGGATAATTAATGTGTAATTCCCAACTTTTAAGGCTAGTTTTGTGGAGTAACTTTGTTAATCATTAACAAATATTTTGAATGTTGAAGAAAATAAAAAAAGCTACTCCACAAAACTTGTCTTAAGGTTAGAAATCACATATTAAATATATATATATATATATATATGAAATTATTACTGTGCTTTACTCGGATCATGTTGGTACTAAATAAAGATATTTAGTTTAGAAAATTGTTATAAAACATATGTACTTTTAGAAACTATTTTTAAGTAGCTATATGAATTCATAATGTATATATGAAAACATAGGATATCTTATTTTCACTTTTAGTATGATATTCTGGCAGAATATTAAAGGAAAAGGTAGTTTTAAATAGAACAATAAACTTGTTTTAAATAATATAGAGTAAATGATTTAGATCAACTATAGGGTCAAATGTAATTTGTCAATATGTTGGTGGATCTGCTCTTGGCATAGAACTAATACCGGCATTCCATGTGTTTGTGCACAGTATCATAATCAGCAATGGGCTCATTGTGTATACAAGGACACGATTAACCTGCATCATACTGTTTCAATTTACCCTTTATTTGTGAAATTGTCACAATCTATTGCACAGGATTCCTTCTTACTTTTTCAAAGAGAAAAAATATATATACATATTTATTTATTTGAACCTTTTATGAACTTGAGATTCTAATATGTGGACTATGTAGCAATTAATAAGTTTATCAAGTGAGTTTCACGAGTGTTTTACTATATTTCCATATTTGTTTTATAGAAATATAAGTGTTTTGAAAAAAACCAGCAAAATTAAATATTTTAATAGATTAAAAAATTGTATCTTAGTTCTTCCTCACTTTATGTATTTCTGATTTTACTTTCTCTTTTATTTGCTTATCTTCTAGCTATCATCATTTGTGATAAAAGTGTTTAATACACTAAGTATTAACCACCTAGCTGTCACTTTTCACAACAACACTTTTTAGTAAATTTTTACAAAGTTTACAAGACAAATTTCCCGCACTTCTAAACTTATTATTCTTGGCTTTATATGACAAACATTTTGTTCCAACTATTTACAAATGTACATACATAAGATAAAAAATCTGTACAATGGAAAAGTTGTACATATAAATATTGAACATACATCTGTTTAATATTATTGTTATTATAACAGGTAAGCAGAGGTGTACAGAATCATGAAGAAGTTAGCCTAGGACTTCTAGTTTGTATTTTCAGTGAGCCAGCCAATGCACCAAGGGTAAATTGCTTTTGGTTAATAAGAAAGTTTCATATAATTTCAGTGCTTGTAATAAAACAATTTTAGCTGTAATTTTTGTGTGGGAAATATCACCTTTTTCACTAAGGTATGTTTTTGTCAATTTTAAACAGGTTATTAATATGTTTTGATGTCCAGACTTCTGATTCAACATTTTAAAATATACTTTGACATAGGTGCTGATTTGTCAGAAACCTTGGGGGAGGGGCAGAGCAAAAAATTGGAAGGTTTTTAACTTTTTTATCTGTATCATAAATTACTAACTTAACAAAATATGTCTAAATGCAAACAGGTCATTCTAATACTATAAAACACAGTGTTTATTACATAATTTAAGTAGTTTGGCTTCCTGTCAATTAGAAGCAAGTAGTCTATGACTGATCAAAAATTGAAGATATATATATATATATTTGGACTAAAATGTGCAAAAAATTGCACCTTTTTTCACAATTTGAAAATGTATCTTTGTTAAATCATCAAGTTAGGCCAGAAAGGACGTAAATATACTTTAGTAGACATTTTATACAACATATTAAGAGCATATCAAAGTTTTAAAAATGTCTAATATTAGGCCATAGAATAATATTAGATGATTATTTACTGATAGTATTAAGTGCTGTAAAGTTTAGCCCTAACTGAACTAAAGCAAAAAACGTACACACAAGTTACAGTGTTAATTTATCTCTTTATAGAATATAGGCCATACTTAATAAAGGCTTATCTAATGTTAGGACTAAGACAAGTGGACTTATAGATTTCAGTGTCTGCAGTTAGAATTCTTTTGTATTACTCTAGAAATCCTGTATTTAAAGAAGTACTGTTGCAATAAAGATATTAATTTGGCCACAAATGTTTTGCGGGTCTTTGCTAGTACATTTATAATACCCACCAAAACTTATTATTATTATAAATGTGAAATTAACATATCCAAATGAAGAAGGACACTGCAATTATAATTCACATCATCATTCGTTTTATGTTGACAAATATCTGAACACTAATAAATTTAACTTCAAATAGAACAACACCTAAAGATAAATAATATGGTGTTTATATTATACCAAACCAATCTTGTGAGAAAGATTATTTCTGATATGATATCTTTCTTTCACAGAATAGCTTTTCTCAATTAGTACTTCCCTCTATTGGTGCAAATTTTTCATGCTTGCCACTAGTCTTCCACTTCCTACTTCTGCATATCTACATGTAAATAATTATGTAGCAGCTCTCCACCAATAGGAGTGTGACACAACCCTTATCATAACCAGTGCCATCCCTCTCCACATTTGCACTCGTTAATCAATTCTCGATTGGCAGTATTACTGGACAGACATGGTTGTTTTTGCTCACAAATTTTTCAAAGTTTTCCTTTAAACTACAGATTTTCTTTACTATTTCTTTAATTTTTTGCATTTGTAAATTGTGCAAAGTTGCTTTTTTTAACTTTTCTTACTTTTTCAGGAACTTTTTGCTAGTGTATTGTGGATCTCACTATGGTGAGTGGTGCCTAACCAGGTGCACATTTTTACACTGTAAATCCTGTGACCATGCTCTCTGTCAATTATGTTGTAGCCCTTCCTACTGCTGCCAGGTATTGGTTGTGTATCTTTGTTCATATGTTGGAGGATATATTACGCACACCATAGAGATGAGGTGTTCCATAGGACCACTAGCAGTTCTATCTCGTGGCCTTTTGCTTCATAAGTATGCTCTTCCCAGACCACACACCTATGGACACACATGAATAAAGCAGACAGGGATTGCTGCCCATCTCTGATGCTTCATGGCATTGAGACTTCCTACTGCAGATCTGATGTACAATTCCACTTGCCACCAGGTGTCAGTTGATCAACTCCGTTGACATGGTAGCTCTGCTTTTCAAAATAGGGTATCGAGGTCACCCGTTGCACTGTCTTTGGTGATGTGGTCCTTCGGACTCTCCAACACTTCTTTTCCCTCCTTTCTTCTTGTGGAGTATGGGAGTCCTAGTCCATGGAGGTCTGTCCTCCTGAGTGATGCATGATACCACTCGGTTGAGAGTAGGGCGGTGGTATTCTGCAGGTGTTGATGATGTATTGTACTTCCTACCACAAACTTCATGTCCAGTTCCAGATTCCACCAGGTTTAGGTTGTAGCACTATGCTGTATTATTCTATAGATATCTGACAGATTACTTATTCTCACTGTGGCATTCCTCCTCCCTACAGTACTCCTGATGTACATTCCCATTGGGTCTGGTGTTGGTTGGAGATGGCCAGGTGATGTTTAGGATTATATCTCAATGGTATGACACCCTTCCTACTACAGACCTGATGTATAGTTCCAGGTACTGCCTGGTTTTGGTTGAAGCATTCTGCCATATTACAACTATATATATATATTGCAGTTTGCCCTTCAGGCTGTGATGTTCTTCCTCTCTATCATCCTCTGAATGTGGTTCCAGGGGGAGGGGGAGATCCTCTATTGGAGATGGTCCAGCTAAGTAAGTCCTCACATTTGTTCTGGATAGTATCCGTCTTCCTACTGCAGACCGGATGAAACATGCCCAATGCCACCAGATGGATGTCGGTTCCATGCAGGATCTGGTGTTGGCTGAAGCTGGATTCAGCACATGTATGGTAGGAAGGTGGAAAACCCTGGTAGGATGACATCTGTGGTCCAAAACCTGGAGGCATTGGGAATAGTTCTTCCAGTCCACATCAGGAGGAGGATACTTGGCCAAACACAAATGGGGATACATTGGATGTTGTTTCGTGGTGGATCTGGCGTTAGTTGGGTTGGAAGTGAGCACAAATGAATGCGGATTTTAGTACAGAAGTTTGTCTTCCCTACCAATTCCCATTTCGAGGTGAAGAGATAGGTGATCCTCTACCTACCACGATACTGGTGTACAATTCCAGATACTGACAGGTGTTGGTTGAGGTCAAACTGCCATTACAGTAATTTTTTCACTGGCCCTCCACCAGTTCAGTGTGTGATTCTACCTATTTGTGAAAGGAGGTAAGACATATCGTATTGGAAGCTAACATTTTTCAAACCTGAAAACTTATTTCCAATAGATACTTACCACCTCTCACATTCCTCACCCAGCCTCCCCACTTCTGGGGTTATTTGGTGTAGGTCTTCTGACCAGTCTCGAAGTGATTAAGGAGTGCAAATGTGGAGAGGGCACTGGTTACAGTATGGGTTGTGTCATGCTCCTATTGGTTGACAGCTGATGCATAATTATTTACATGTAGATATGCAGAAGTGGGAGGAGCAGTGCTAGTGGCAGCATTGAAAATTTGCACAGATAGAGGGCAGTACTAATTGAGAAAAGGTAATTTGTGAGAGGAGGTAAGTATCTATCAGAAGTACATTGTAAGGTTAGGAAAATATGAACTTAAGTGAATTCTGAAGAAGTCTTGATACAAGATTTTCTGAATGTAAAAAAAAAAGTATTAAGTATGGAAACACAAACAGTGCCATTTTTGTTCATATTAGAGATTCTGGCCATCAAATCAATTGGATATCAACAAGAATTTTAAACAAAATGAATAACTCCGTAAAAGGAAGAATCATCAGAAATTACCTACCCAAACTATTCCAAGATCACTTTAACCCTCTTGCTACAGTTGGGTCAAAGAGCACATGTCACAACCTTTTACAGAGTTTCATTCAAAATTTAGTTAATAAATCAAGTTTTAATACGACATAGTTTTAAGTTCTTAGTTTTATAAGAAAATATTTTAAAATCTCCCCCAATGTGAGAATTGTGACATGTGTTCTCTAGGTTTTCTCCCTTCTCTAATTTATGTATCACCCCTATCTGAAGTGTACGTTAACATAAACTTCTTATTATAATATAGATATTACTAAGGCAAAGTCTTCAATCTCATTTGTTTACAGAGCCATAAACTAGAAAATCAGACCCTCTTGCATGCCCACCTGTCACATTCTCTCTTTCGCAAATTGCCAATAATTTTCTGAAGTTTTATGCTATATCATTTATAACCAACAGAAAGGCAAAGTTTTAATCTGTTAAATAACATATAATACTATATTGTTTTCACAACAGTATTGTCAACTTCTTCAGGTGAAAGTTTATTTCATGTTGTTCAGATTGAGTAGCAAAAGAAATAAAATTAAGCTATAAAATCTCTACAGTAGCATATTACATCTATAAAATCTACAGTAGCATATTACACCTATAAAATCTCTACAGTAGCATATTACACCTATAAAATCTCTGCAGTAGCATATTACATCTATAAAATCTCTACAGTAGCATATTACATCTATAAAATCTCTACAGTAGCATATTACATCTATAAAATCTCTACAGTAGCATATTACATCTATAAAATCTCTACAGTAGCATATTACATCTATAAAATCTCTACATTAGCATATTACATCTATAAAATGTCTACAGTAGCATATTACACCTATAAAATCTCTACAGTAGCATATTACACCTATAAAATCTCTACAGTAGCATATTACATCTATAAAATCTCTACAGTAGCATATTACATCTATAAAATCTCTACAGTAGCATATTACATCTATAAAATCTCTACAGTAGCATATTACATCTATAAAATCTCTACAGTGGCATATTACATCTATAAAATCTCTACAGTGGCATATTACATTTATATATAGCTCTTCCCCCATGCCCCTAATGAATATTCCTGGGTCAAATGCCTCTTTGTCCCCCACTAACTTTGCACTTATGGAAATAAATAGCTTTGCTTCATGGTGTATTATTACATTATTACCATACTTATTATGTGCATTGCGTTATGAGTTACTCATAAAAATTTGGAAGTGAGTGGAATTTTTGAAAATGTATAAAAGCAACCTTGATCAATATACATGAATGACAAGACTCCTAACATAGTGAACTGAATTTGTTTTTTATAACTTACCATTCAACAGTCCTGAGAATCTTTACACTTGAATTGACAGTAAAGTAACCAATTGATTTGTTGAATGAATAGCTTCATTTTCTAAGATAAGCATCTAATTTTTTTATTATGAAAATGCTTAATGTTGAGGTAATTTTTAATAACTGTGATTCTCCTTTGGAATTTTTTTTCTTTTAATGACAGTTTGTAAGTTTTTAACTTTGAAACTACATTTATACAGATCTGAGTTCTACATTATTCTGTTTGTGTTTTTTTTTAACCATTCAATTAAAGTTGAATATTTTAAGGTCAATCTAAGTTTACTGAATCCATTATGTTGAATTAAATTTATTTCTATTTAGTATTCTACACGTTTTAAATTGTGGCCATAATATTTCTTTGAATCCATGTAAATCCATGGTGATTTACCATGCTTATATGATCAGTAGTTTGCCGAAGAACTCTCATCATACGTATAGTAATAGTGTATTGACAGTGGGTTCATTTTTAACTTTGTTTTACTTTTGTTGTGACTAGTCATTATGTATTATCAAATGTTGGTCTGTTATTAAGACTTTTCAATAACTCTCAGTACTGATTTTGTTATATTTTTTTATAAATTTATCACAAAGACCCCAGATATTTCTTATAACTTTTTCTGTGTGAAGTGTTTTTGTGAATATTAAATATTATCTTAAGTTTCTGCATAGAATTTAGGGTTGACATAAAGGTGGGTTTTTAAAAAATTAATAATATATGTATTAGTTTTTTTTCCCCGATCTTTACTTAAATTTTAAGATTTTCTGCATGCATGAACTTTTATCAATAATTCCAAAAAACAAGTTATTGTAACTTTTTGTGTGCATTTTAAAAAGTTTTAGTTTAGTGTTAAAGTATGAAATTGTACCAAAATAGAAAATATGTATGCACATACACACGTAATCATTTGTAAATTGTTGTTTTTTCTCACTAAAACTTAAGACTTTCTAGAAAGTTATAAAGTATATGCTTTTTTTGTTTTTAGTACTACAGAGACCTCACCTATATCACAACAGATGGTTTAGCCTTAGTTATTGGTTATTTAACTCAAATCATTGTAGAAAAATATTCAAAACTTCAAGACACTAGTAGAACACAGGTAAGGTGGAGGTTATCAAACGAGATACATATTAATCAGTACATTTCTGTATTAATTAAGAAAAAATATCAAAAACATAAAAGTATACATCGTAAGACAATATTTTCATGTCTATTATGATGCTTTTATTCAGAAGTGTAGTTCCTATTGAAAAGATTGTTTTGTTTTTAATTAAGAATGAGAAATTGAATACTTAAACCTTTTTAAAATGCTAAAGTGTTTATGGAGCAAGATTTTTAGGATATTTTTAATGTGTTTTGCATTTGTATAATTTTTTTTTAATTAAATGCATTAGTCACGCACAATCACTATCCTAAAAAATGAATGGAGAAAGTGTTTTTATCAGCTGAGATTTAATATCTAAATTAGAAAAACAAAATATTGTTAAGGATAAAATGTTTGTGCATTTTCATCTCTCACAAACTTTTTAATGATTTATTTCAATAATTGTTATTGATGGTATTAAAAAAAAAGACTTACTTTTTTCCTGTCAGCTTATTTGGCTTTTGAAAGAAATGATTAAAAACTCGATTCCGGGAGTTGATGGTTTGTGCTACAATCTTCTTCGGCAGATAGCAGGTGAGTGGAAGGTTTGTGCTACAATCTTCTTCGGCAGATAGTAGGTGAGTGGAAGGTTTGTGCAACAGTTTTTTTATGCAGATATCAGGTGAGTGGAAGGTTTGTGCTACAATCTTCTTCGGCAGATAGCAGGTGAGTGAAAGGTTTGTGCTACAGTTTTTTTATGCAGATAGCAGGTGAGTGGAAGGTTTGTGCTACAGTTTGTTTATGCAGATAGCAGGTGAATGGAAGGTTTGTGCTACAGTTTGTTTATGCAGCTAGCAGGTTAGTGAAAGGTTTGTGCTACAGTTTTTTTATGCAGATAGCAGGTGAGTGGAAAGTTTGTGCTACAGTTTTTTTAGGCAGATAGCAGGTGAGTGGAAGGTTAGTTCTACAGTTTTTTATGCAGATAGCAGGTGAGTGGAAGGTTTGTGCTACAGTTTTTTTATGCAGATAGCAGGTGAGTGAAAGGTTTGTGCTACAGTTTTTTTTATGCAGATATTAAAACCAATGGAAGGTTTAATGCTACAATCTTCTTATGCAAATACCAGCTGAGAAAAATGTTTAGTGCATATATTTCTTATACAAATAGTGATGAGTAGAAGGTTTAATGTTACATATTTCTGAAGCAGTGCAGGTTTAGGGTTTCACATTTTGTACATGGAATAGAAGAAAATGAATAAATGAAGCAACCATGAAATCCAGAGAATCTTTTGGTGTTTGGGCTTTACACATCAGGAGCAAACATTGTAATGATCTTAATTAGAATGATAGATTTCATTACATAAAATTTATGCTCCAGTTAGTTTTACATATTTTAGAACATTTTTAAAAGGTGAGTCCACCAAGAGTTTAGAACTATTAGTGCTTTCAACTAAATGCTTAAAATATTAACATTCACTGTACCTAGTTTAGAGACTGAAGTCTACAAATTTGATATTCATCGCTATTTGTAAGAGAGATGGGGGAATTTTTTTTAATTAACTGAAACTTGTATATTTGTTAAAGTTTAGTTATTGTGTGCTGTCTGTATTAATGACAGGAGTTGAACTACAAGAAGTAAAAATAAATATACGTTTGGCATCAAAACAACAAGTAACATGTTAGTTAATACTAATGCTTTGATAATTCAGTAATTTCTTTTTTTTAGATCTCATTATTTATTTTTATGCATAATACAACAAATATATCTAATTTAAAACTATAGATTTTATTTAAAAGTAATTTTCTTATCTTTATTATATACCAGCTTGTATTTTCAGAAATATCATAAAAATAATTAAATCTAAATTGTAAATATTTGTTAATTAAACATCCAAATGACTACTTTGAGCTTTCATTAATTTTTTTATGATTGACATTAATAAAAAATTTTTATGCATTGTGAGTAGTTATGAATGTGTGTGTGTTTCTTAGTTCTGAATTTCATGTAATATGTAAGTAAATGCAGTTGTATGTGTATATTGTGTACGTACAAATGTATTCATATATATATATGTTTTGCAGGAGGAGATACAACACCAAAAAACCTATGGCTAATAGAATCAATGCTAGACATATTTATTGAAAACAGGTATAAGTACAAAATCCACTCACAGAATTCTTTATCACACACCTTTTTTTTTACATATATTAAATATGTTTGTGTTAATTCTAAATAGGTGATTATTAATTAATTAATTCTAATTAATTTAAAGAAATATATGAAATCACATTACAAGTTACTTTTGTGTCTCTATGTTCAAAATGCTGCATTACAGTTTACAATGGGCTAGGCAACCCACGTCAGTGATTAAAGATGCTTTAACCCACCTACTGCACGTGTATAAATTTAAGTCTTTCATTGTTCATATCAGTCTAAGGATTTAATGTAATATTATTAGGTTTTTCCTGTTTCGTTTATTAAATAAAAAAAATGAAGTTGCAACTTTTTAATGAAATTTAATAATACCTAAACTCAGAAATAGAATTTTTTAAGAAATAATTTTATATTCATAGAAATAGTACCTGTCAATGGACATACCAGATTTATTCATATCTATCGAGACATGTAACTTGCATAATTAATTGTTTGCTTGTCACTCAATATTATTGTTGTTCATATATTTAGATTCAAGACTGATGACTTTTGATTTATAACTATTAAGCCTTTTAATAATATTTTTTATAACTAATGTTATATTATTACAAAGGAATGAACGATATGTTGTTATGAGTTAATATCGCTTTTGTTGCACTGCACTTCCATTTTACTGCCTTTTTGTGTTTTCTATATATAATTGATATTGAAATTAAAGAAAGCAATTTGTTACACATAAAGTAACATAACTTCATTCCAATATTAACATTGTTACAACACTGTAGTTATATTGATAGCTTGTTTATAAATCATACTTCCCAGACCATTGTTGGGTTGTATTAAACATTACATAAGGTAACATAACTTCACTCCAATTTAAACATTGTTACAACACTAGTTATATTATTAGCATGTATTTATAAGACATACTTTCCAGCCTATTTTTGGGTTTTATTGTCAGTTTTGGACATTTATAAACTTTCTTCAAGATTCAGAGCTAAACCAGTTATTTATTTACATTTTCAAACATAGGGCCTAATTTTTCATCTATTTTATAAAACATAATAATGAATTAAATTACAAGGAACTTTTTACTTTCATCTTGAAATTGATATTGATTGTGATTAGTGATTATTTATTGGTAATAATATGACAAAAATCAATGCAACTTGCATCATAAAATTTCAATTTACTTTTTATAAGTAGTTTTATCGAACATAATTAGCATTTGGGCAAACAACTAAGGGGAGAAATATGTACAGAAAAACTGATATTTTTATCTTTTATAGGGGCTGGTTAGAAAAATTTCCTTTGCTTGTTGCAGCAGTTGTCTATACTTACATAAGGTTAATTGTAGACCATGGAAGTCAGATGATGTCTAACCTAAGACGAAAAGAAGTTGACTTTTGCATTTCTCTGCTCAGAGAAAAAGTAAATGTATTTTCTACTTTAATTGTGGGATTATACGAGTTCATATTTTTTATGTATTTTAATCTAGTATGATATTCTTAGATTCAGTTTTAACAAAGTGAATCGTAGCACAAAGAATAAAAAATGTCCCTAAAAGTCTTTAAAATTCCATTCCTTAACTTCACAACAAAAATGTTCATGTATTTTCTTAGGTTATGGAGGAAATTGCACTAAGAATATAATTTTATAATAAGAAATTTTTTATACTTAAAAATTTATAAATATATGTATGAAATAGCATTTCTCAGAATATGTAAATGTTTTATAATCACTTAAAAATTTCTAGTTTACTGAGTGCATGATGATTGGTCGAGATCTTGTCCGACTACTCCAAAATGTAGCAAGGATACCAGAATTTGACAAATTATGGCGTGACATGTTTTATGAACCAACGTCACTATCGTCAGGCTTTACTGGTTAGTGTGTATCGTTTATTAAGATCTTACCTAAACAGCTATGTTGATTTAAATCCATTTCACTTATCCCAACTTTAACTGTAAGTATCTAATTTTGTGTAATTCATCCTAAGGTTTAGAGTTTTTTTTAATTAAATACATTTATGCCAATAGCTCCAACTTTTATAGGTTAGGATAAATAACTAGTCTAACAGGGTAGCATATTTGTTTTCTAATTGTTTTTAAACTAATGAAAAGAGTTGAAGTTTTTTAATAATTGAATGTGTACAAATAATAATGGGATATTTTTAACTTGTTTAAAAACGTACAACTTAAATACTAAACAAAAAGATTTCAACAAAAGTTTTACATTTTAGTTTAATATTTCCCCATCACTGAACATGCTTACCGTTTCATCCATGGGGCATTATAATGTGACAGTCAATCCTACTATTCATTGGTAAAGAGTAGCCCAAGAATTTGCAGTGGGTGGTGTTGACCAGCTGCCTTTGCTCTTGTCTGTCACTATGAAATTAGGAATGCTTAGTGTAAATAGCCCTTGAGTAGGTTTGTGCAAGATTCAACAAGCCAAAAAAAATAACATAAAGTTTTGGTTATAACATAAAAGTAGAATTTTGGCTCACATGATAGCTTGTTGTTACCAAATAATTCTGAAATGATATCCTCATAGCCTACTAATATAGAAACCAAACATAAATTAAGTTTATATTGTGTCGGATTTGTGTTCAGTGTTTAAGTATTAGTATGTCTATTGGCAATTAAAAACAAAATTAATAAATTTTCACTTTTTACGAAGAAGTTTGTTACATGTATGTAATTTTTTTCTATTAGGTATTCAACAATTATTGACCACCAGGACTTCTCGTAGGTTTCTCCAAAGTAGGCTTACACCAGACATGGAGAGGAAAATTGTATTTTTAACATCACAGGTCATATATTTTTAGTTTCTTTATTTTGTCTTACTCTTGTAAAATGAAAGGTATAAGTGAGTTTTTGATAATTCAGCTATGTAGTAATTAATTTTATAATATTTTCTTTGTTATGGCTAATATGTCACTAATTGCTTATTATTATATAACAATTCCTGTAGTTCTGACAAAACACACTGAAAAACATTGCTGTCACCTAATACCTATTTATGACTTTGTACATATTAGGTCCTCAATGTCACTTTTTTTAGATGAAAAAACCCAAACAACTTATATATCAAAACAAAACATTTATTA